ACAAACAAATAAACAAACAAATAAACAAACAAATAAACGAACAAATAATAAATAAACAAATAAATAAACGATAAATAAACAAACAAACAAATAAATAAATGAAAAAACAAACAAATAAACAAATAAATAAACAAGTAAACAAATAAACAAAAGCCCACGGGCTTGGCGCCGTTGATGAGTTTGTTTCTGTTTTCCTGGAGACAAGTTCTCAAAAGTCGAAAAAGGCCTTTTGAAATTAAATGAAATTCATTTTCGGATTTCAACTCCGAAAGAACTCGGCGAAAAACGTTGCGGCAGCTGTACGTACACCCCACGCCCCACACCCCACACCCCACAAAACCCGCAGTGTACGTACACCGCAGATTCGAGCTCTTCGAATTATTTAAGTTGAATTGTTGGATTTAAATTAATTGAAGTTTAATTGTTTATATTTAAATTAATTGAAGTTTAATTGTTTAGATTTAAATTAATTGAAGTTTAATTGTTTGGATTTAAATTAATTAAAGTTTAATTGTTTGGATTTAAATAAAAGATAAGTGAAAGAAATTGAAATAAAAGAAGTGAAATGGATGAGATAATAGGGGTGTAAAAGGAAAGAATTAAAAACGGAAAAAGGAGAAAATGAATTAAACGAAAAAGGAAATAAAAAGAATTAAAAAATTAAACAAATAACAAATCAAAAAAGAAAACAAAAGGAAATTCAAAAAGAAACAAAAAAGAATTAAAAAATACATAAAAAGCAAACAAATTTGAATCAAAAAGAATCAAAAGGAATCAAAAAAGTTTAAAAAAGATCAAAAAATTAAAAATTAAAAAATCAAAATTAAAAAAAGATTAAAAATAAAAGACCCACGGGGCTGCTGGCGGGGCCTCCGGAGCTTCTCCTGTGAAAAAATAAAAACAAAAATAAAAACAAAAAAATGAAATAAAATAAAAGAATGAAAAAAGAATAAAAAATGAAAACGAATTAGAAAATAAAAAGAAATAAATAACCAAAAAGAAAGAAAACAGAAGTGCGGATGAAGAACGAAAATGCATTTAAAATGAAAAGTAATTAATTTCGAAAAACAAAAAACAGAAATGCGCAATTATAAATAATAAATAAATAAAAATTAAATAATAAGTAAATAAATGAGAGTTAAGTAGATAAATAAATGAATAAATGAACTAACAAATAAATAAATAATTAAACAAATAAATAAACAAATAAATAAACAAGTAAATAAACGAATAGATAAATAAATAAATAAATAAATAATAAACAGATAAATAAATAAACAAATAAAAAAATTAAAAAAACCAAACAAATAGATTTATAAATAAATAAATAGATAAGGAAGATCATATAAATAAATAAACTGCAAATAAATCAACAAATGAAAATAAATAAAAAGCGGCGAACAGACAGCTCAAGAAAAAGTAAAAAGATTTGAGACAAAAAACAAAAATAAATAAAAGTAAATCAAAATAATAAAAAAGAAATAATAAACAAATATATAATAATGAGCAATTGAGAGAACTGCTGCTGCAGCAGCAGCAGCAGCTGCTGCAGCAGCTGCAGCAGCAGCAGCAGCTGCTGCAGCAGCTGCAGCAGCACCGGGTGCAGCAGCAGCGGGTGCTGCAGCAGCTGGTGCTGCAGCAGCTGCTGCAGCTGAACAGCCCAGTGAATAAAAGCTGAAAAAACCCTTAAAAAGAAGAAAAGAAAAAAGAATAAAACAACAAAAGAAATAAAAGAATAAAAGAAATAAAAGAATAAAAGAAATAAAAGAAATAAAAGAATAAAAGAATAAAAGAAAAAAAAGAATAAAAGACCTGCTGCAGCAACTTCGGAAAAGACCAAAGGCTTGAAGTCCAGCAGCAGCAGCAGCAGCTGCAGCGCAGCACAAACGAAGGCCTCGGGCTCGGGAGCAGCAAAAAGGCGGGAGAGCGGGAGGCCCTGATGACAAAAATAAATAATTAAATTAATTAATTAATTAATTAATTAATTAATTAATTTAATTAATTTAATTAATTTAATTTAATTAATTATATTTAATTCCATTTTTATTTAGTTCCAAGTTGGAATTCGTTTTAGTTGTGAAGAAAAGTCTTCAGAAGTGAGAGTCGGGGCGCACAAGAACGACGCTCTAAACCCTAAACCCTAAACCCTAAACCCTAAACCCTAAATCCAGCCCTTAGCCCGGAACCCTCAGCCCAAACCCTAAACCCTCAACCCTAAGCGCCAAACCCCAAACCCTAAACCCTGAACCCCAGGCCCCAAACCCCAAACCCCGAACCCTAAACCCCAGGCCCCAAACCCCAATCCCTAAACCCTAAACCCTAAACCCTAAACCCTAAACCCTAAACCCTCACATAGCCGACGGGGTCGTAAGTGAAAATGGAACTCAAAAGAGAACAAAAGAGGTTTGCGGTGTATGGACTGTGGCCAGCTGTAAAGACAGCCAGCCAGGGGGGTTCTTGCCGCAAGTACTCGTCGATGGTCTGCGCAAACCCTAAACCCTAAACCCTAAACCCTAAACCCTAAACCCTGAAGCCCAAACCCCAAACCCTAGGCCTCAGAGCCGCCGCCACGCACTCCAGACCCCGCAGTCAGAGCTCCCTTGCACAGACCCTAAACCCCAAACCCTAAACCCTAAACCCTAAACCCTAAACCCTAGGGCCGAATGCCCCGACGCAGCGCTCTCTTCGAAACCCTCGCCCCACCACAAACCCTAAACCCTAAGCCCAAGCCCCAAACCCCAAACCCTAGACCCTGTCCCAAGTCCCAAACCCTACACCCAAGCCCCAACCCCAAACCCCAAACCCTAAACCCTAAACCCTAAACCCTAAACCCTACTTTGGAGAGAGAACCCGCGAAGCAGAGCAGCAAACAGTGCAGCACTTTGGAGCGGTTTGCAAACATGAAGGGCAAAGAAGGACACGGAGAAGCAGCAGCAGCACCGAAGCCGCTGCACCAGAGGAAGCGGCGGTCTATCACGTTCGAAGGGATTTGCTGCAGCAGCAGCAGCAGCAGCAGCAGCAGCAGCAGCAGCAGCAGCAGCGGGCGCTGAGTCCGCGCCAAACCCTGCCCGCCCTTGCTGCTGCTGCGCCCGCGCTAGGGTTTCGGGTTTGCAGGCAGCAGCGCACGCCGGCACGCACAGCCAGCACACACTAAACCCTAAACCCTAAACCCTAAACCCTAAACCCTAAACCCTAAACCCTCACCTCGTCCTTTTCCAGGAAGCAACGAGGCGCGTTGACGCAAAAGCCGTTCAAGAAAAGCAGACGGGCCAGAGCATTCATCAGCTTCAACACACACCACAAACCCTAAACCCTAAACCCTAAACCCTAAACCCTAAACCCTGAGGCTTGCTCGCTTAACCCTAAGACCACTGGCCTTGACTCCAAAACCCTAAACCCTTTTTGCGGGATGCAAAGAGTGCAAAATTCCTGAACAGGGGTTAAGGCACATTCTCTTAAACCCTAAACCCTAAACCCTAAACCCTAAACCCTAACCTCGTTCGCCAGAGTTGTGCAGCGTTTTGAGCCTTCAGAGGTCCCAGAGCTTTGCTGTTCCTCTTGCTGCTGCTGCTGCTGCTGCTGCTGCTGCTGCTGCTGGTTGTCCTCCTGCTGCTGGCCGTTCTGCTGCTGCTGCAGCTCTTCCTGCTGCTGCAGCTCTTCCTGCTGCTGCAGCTCTTCCTGCTGCTGCAGCTGCGCCTCCTGCTGCCGACCATTCTGCTGCTGCTTTTCCTGCTGCTGCTGTTGCTGCTGCTGCTGCTTTTCCTCCTGCTGCTGCTGCTGCTGCTGCTGAGGATCGTAGTCATCCTGCTGCTGCTGCAGCAGCAACTCCTGCTGCTGCAGCTCCTCCGCAAACTCGTGCTGCGGGAAAGGCCGCCAGAACAGCGTCGCCTCTGAAAGACAAGCCCCAAACCCTAAACCCTAAACCCTAAACCCTAACCCCCGACGCAAACTCTAAACCCCAAACCCTAAACCCTAATTCGCAAGCCCCAGCCCCCGTCCCTCGCCGCCAAAGCCCGGGCCTCGCGCTCTGAAGCTCGTCGCAAAGGGTCTAGGGTTTAGGGTTTAGGGTTTAGGGTTTAGGGTTTGCTGCACCTAGGTGGGGCTGCATTATGCAAAAAGACAAAAGAACTTCCAACAAAGACAAACAAGACAGCAGCGAGTCTTCTTCGGGGCCCGTTAAGTGCTGCTGGCTGCCGCGGCGGCTCAGCAGCAGCAGGTGCTGCACCAGCTGCAGCAGCAGCAGCAGCAGCAGCAGCAGCAGCAGCAGCAGCAGGAGCAGCAGGCAGAAGCGCACGAGAAATCCAGACGCTAAACCCTAAACCCTAAACCCTCAAAAGGACAGCAAGGGGAGACTGCATGCAGTTGGGTCTCTGCTCCAAACACCTTCGCCAGTGAACACAAAGCCAAACCCTAAACCCTAAACCCTAAACCCTAAACCCTAAACCCTAAAGTGAAGACCCCAGTGAGAGACTTTCCCGGCACTGCCCGCGCGATCCCCGCGCCCCAGACCCCAAACCCTAAACCCCAAACCCTAAACCCCAAACCCTAAACCCTAAACCCTAAACCCTAAACCCTACTTTTCTGAAAAGCAGTTCAATGTTTTTAGGGTTTGACTGCAGCAAATCCTCAATCTGAGTTGGAGGCAGCAGCGCCTCAGCAGCAGGCAGCGAAGGAATTCGCATGAAGAGTGAGACCCAGAAACTCTGAAAAAAATAAAAAATAATTAATTAAATTAATTAATTAAATTAATTAAATTAAATTAATTAAATTAAATTAATTAAACTAAATTAAATTAATTAAATTAAATTAAATTAATTAATTTAATTGCAAATGGTGGTTTCAAAACCGCCGGCAGCAAGCAGCACGCGGGCAGCCAAGTTGCTGCCAAGAGGCAGCAGCAAGAGCAGCAGCAGCGAGGGTTTAGGGTTTAGGGCTAGGGTTTAGGGTTTAGGGTTTGGGGCGCCTGGGGGCGTTGCTGCAGGCTCTAGGGTTTGGGGTTG